TGAATCCTGGTAACATGGATTGTAGGTAGGAGGCTCCCCTGTATCTGGGGATTTACCAGCTTTGTTCTTAGATGGGGGTACATAATCTGGGGGTCCTCCTGGACTCACAATTCCCGCTCGAGAGGCAGGTGAGAACCATAGCTAGGAAGGTCTTTGCTCAATTTATGCGCCAGTTATACCCTTTCCTAGATCAAGAAGCTCTTTTTCAGTCACTCTTGCCCTGGTCATCTCCTGTATGGACTACTGCAACATGGTCTACATAAGGGTGCCCTTAAAGAGTACATGAAAGCTGCAATTGGTGCAGAACGCAACAACACAAGCAGTCTTGGGTGCCTCTAGGGTTGCTTCTGAGTCAAACTGGCATGGGGCCAGTTTATCTGAGGAATCATCTCATCCCAATTACATTGACTCGTCCCATCCAGTCAGGCAGGATCCCAACAACTGAAGAATTTTGAATGGTGGGAAAGAAGGAAGAGAATTTCTCTGCCATTGCCCTCCCCCCCTGGAACATTCTTACCCCTACAGGTGAGGCTGGCGTCACTCTTCTGGCCTTCTGGAAGGGTGTCAAGACTGTGTCTAAGAATGATATGCAACCTTAGGGATGATTAGTGGCTAAAAGGTTCTCCTTCCACTCTTTTCACTTTTTATTATGTTCATTTTAACCATATTTTAATTCTCTTTTTATCTGTTTTTAACTAAGTTTTATATTACTTTATGTTTTTATTATAAACCACCCACTTAGGTGAGGTGGGTGGTGTAGAAATGTGATAAATAAATAAATTAACAATTAAAAACAAAAAAATAGGAATTGGAAGAGTAAAACATTTTTCCCATTAACTATTAATAAAAATATCAGAACTACTATTTAATGTGCAGAAGCACTCTTATCAGAAAAGCCATTCATTTTAGGGTGAAGTGAGAGTAGATTAAAAACTCCTTTGCAACTCTTCCTTGTTTTGTCCAAAAATAACTTGCAAAGTGAAATAGCAGATCTCATTTATTGTCTGCCCACCATCCAAAAACGTATTTTCTGATATATTCACATCTACGGCAAAGCACAGTAAAAATACACGGTGATAAGACATACACAAGACATTAAAAACTGAGCTAACTTTTACTAAATGTTACAATCAATGATGTAACTTATGTAAGTAGGGTTGCTTTGTCATATATTGATAGTTACCTCACTTTCACATCCACATTAACTTGATTTTAAATGCAATTAATACATATAGTCAAGGAAGACTAATGGACTACATTCTGCACTTAACCTGGTGGACATTTTCAAATGGCACAAGTGACCAGTGCAAACCTATTTTGCATTGTAAACGACTAAATAAATCTTAATGGATTAAGAATGATCAGCTATCAACACACAAGGGAAATTAAGTGCTGAAATGCCTACATTGATTATTTTAAATTATTAGCCTTACTCTGTTCTTGAATTTGTATGCTTTTAGTGAGCTTTAACACATTTACAAGACTTATTGACTATAATTACAAGAGAATTCAAGTAATGGACACATCAATTATAAGCAACATGTCCTGACCAGACAGTTGCATAAAGAATTCTAAAGAGACCTCCATTAGCATCTTCCCTGTAGTTTTATTCCATTTTATCTGCCTTAAGAGGGCATATTAAGGGCTCATAAAAACACGTGAACAAGTTGGTGCTTCCTAAAAACCCAACAGTTGCAGAATCAAACCGTTTCCTGAAACTGGTTCCTATGCACAAAGCTAGCAATAGCAGACTTTTAAAACAGCCAGAATTCCAAAATAAGAGTTTGTAAGAATACTTTAGTTTGAGTAAAGATTCTTGATGACAATATTCCTCACCTGAATCTTAAGCATATTGCCTAACCACTGCTTCGTCTTCTTGGAGAAAAAGGAACCATTTCAGGATAGCACCAAGAATATTAATATTTTTTGCAACATCCTGAATCTCTTTTATCTTTCCATTTTCTTTCTAGAAACTGTACCAAGTTTCAACTACTGCATGAAGTTAAACCAGAGCCTCTATAATAACCCATTATTTAAAAGTACAGTAAAATAAACCTTACAGTTTTAATGAAAATATGTTCATTGAAATGTGAATTTATTATTCAAATCCACTCATAAATTTAACCAGAGAGACACCACTTGTCTAAGCAGAGCTCAGTGATTTAGAAAAGCTGTCTATTTAAAATAAAGAATGTATGGCAGGTTTATAGAAACACAGCAGTGAATTTTTACATAAATTTAGAACTGCAGCTTATGCATTTTCGGCAAAAGTGTTGTTTTAAATTTTTCCACTTAATATAAAACATAAAAAGAGAATGGAAAATGTGGAACCGCATAGGGTCTAAATTATCTGGTCCAAATATCACAGGTACTGCATTACCATTAAAAATGCTTTCTAAAATGATGGCCAACTCCAAATATCATGATAATCATATGCACTTGTATCCCAAAATCAGCATACTTCACAAGTAAAAAAAAAAATACACCAAACACCCATCATTCAACTACTAAATGCAATTAGTGGATTCTGTATCCAAGAGGCAGGAAACCTACCTAAGATAGTACGTTAAGATCATCATTCAGTATTCTACCAGTCTGGCAACTGCTTGATATCTTGGGAAGTTATTTTAGCTCAGTTAAAAAGTAAATAAAAAGCTGCACTGTAATCCTCTCTATGCAAAATGAAACTACCAATTAGGGGTGTCCATGTTTCCAAAACTATTCAAAAGTGCTTTAACTCCTGAACAAGTAAAGCAGGTCTTCTTTTTCAGGGTTCTCCACCTGAGTTCAAGGAATTCAAAAGGACTCCACTCAGTCAGGCTGTAGTTAGAACAAACTAGGGTCAAAAAATATCTCAAAAATGGGTGAATATGTATCTCTAACATATCCCTAGGAAGCAAATAAATAAATGAACAGAAAAGATGCCTGAACTGGTCTGGAGAAATTTTCAAAGGCAGATCCCAACTTGTAGAATCCTATGCACACCCATTTTTCTCAAGCATACTAGTACTGCATAGGGACTCAAATATAGGTAGTTCTCAACTTACCACAACTGAGCCCAGAATTTTTGTTGCTGAGAGATTTGTTAAGTACGTTTTGCCCCATTTTATGACATATCTTGCCATTGATGTTGAGTGAATCACTGCAGTTAATAACACAGTTGCTAAGGGAATCTGGCTTCCCCATTGACTTTGCTTGTTAGATGGTTAGAAAAGGTGATCATATTGCCCTGGGACATTGCAGCTGTCATAAATATGAATCAGTTGCCAAGCATTTGAATTTTGATCACGTGACCATGGGGATACCGGATTGGTTGTAAGTGTGAAAAATGGTCATAAGTCACTTTCTCCAGTACTGTTGTAACTTTGAGCGATCACTAAATGAATTGTTGTAAGTTGAGGGCTACCTGTAACACATAATGACATGGATTCACTTTAGGAAGGAAGGAAGGAAGGAAGGAAGGAAGGAAGGGAAAGAGAGAGAGAGAGAGAGAGAGAGAGAGAGAGAGAGAGAGAGAAAGAAAGAAAGAAAGAAAGAAAGAAAGAAAGAAAGAAAGAAAGAAAGAAAGAAAGAAAGAAAGAAAGAAAGAAAGAAAGCAAGCTTCCTAGCGATGAGAGAGGGTGACTAGTCCAAGTCATCTAGTTGGCTTTGTGTCTAAGGTGGGACTATAATTCATGGTCTCCCAGTTTCTAGCTTGGTACCTTCTACATTGAATTAGCTCTCTTGGTGTGAGTCCACTGAGCTGATCATTGCCAGATATAGTGGCTCAGAAATGAACCATCCCCAAGTTTGTTGGATATCAATACCTACATATCTCAGTTACCCATCTCTGTTTCATTTTATTTGTGCTCTCTTTAAACTCCAGCCCTCCCTTTAGCTGAATATCTTTATCCATCAAATAAATAATCTCAGATTGGAATTTATACAAACTCAATTAGTGGAAGACTAGATAGAGCCATACCAATATGGTATCAACAGAAGCAGCAGTAAAGCTAAAATGTGTTGGTATATGTGTTCATAGGTAAAGGAAACATTTAGTATATCTGCTTGGGTAGATATAATTATGCAACTCTTCTGTTCATACACGGACTTTGCTGAATGTCTCATTTCATCAATATCTCTTGCCTGGTGGCTTGCTCCTCACTTAAAAACATACTATAAAACCCCTTGGCACCTACCGTATTTTCCGGCGTATAAGACGACTTTCTAAACCCTGAAAATCTTCTCAAAAGTTGGGGGTCGTCTTATACGCCCAATCGTCTTATACGCCGGAAAATACGGGTATTCTATTTTATTCCTTTACACATGTGGTTTGGCATATTACTCATCAAGTTTTCTCTCCCCCCCCCCATCTCTCTCGCTCAAACTCTATATTTTAACTGGAAAAGTCGGGGGTCGTCTTATACGCCCAGTCGTCTTATACGCCAGAAAATACGGTAATCTTTGATAGAAAAGGAAGAAGATAAGTCAAAAAAGGGGAAGTAAAAAGGGAAATGAAACTCCAGATCAATGCCACATATACATACATACATGAATGAAAAATTTGCCAAGCAATTCCACTTTGTACAAGCAGAAGAGATTCATTATTGCAAAAGAAAATATCTTATGAAGCCACAAATTATTCACTGAAACAGTTACAATGAAATTGGTGAATTATAGGTTTGTCTGGGGATATAATCTTTAAAATGTATATTAACAAAAGAGATGCTATTGAAAACTTTTAAGAAAATTAATCTTCCTGTTCTTTGGCTTCTACAAAATACTCCTAGAAGCTAATGTCTCAATCTTTAAGCACTGAACATGGAAATCATATATTGTCGGAATACAGTATTAGAAGGACTGATTTACAAGTTTCAAAAGGAGAAGAGGGAGAAGGAAGGAAGGAAGGAAGGAAGGAAGGAAGGAAGGAAGGAAGGAAGGAAGGAAGGAAGGAAGGAAGGAAGGAATTTTAATTCAATTTCCATCACAAAACATTAACTGAACAACTCATCAATACGTACCTGTATGAGTACGGATATGAGCAAGGAAAGCCATTGAATTACTACTTCTGCATATCTTCCCACAATATTTGCAAATATTGCCTTTATTTTCTTCTCGCTCTCGGACAATTTGTTCAGTATCTTCAACAATATACTTATTGACTTCCCGGAGCAGTTCTTCATGTTGTTCTTTTATGTGAAGGAATAAATTTTGTTCAGAATCAAAAGGTTCTGTGCATTTCACACATTTAAAGGTGGCACCCCCTTCCGGCAACTCTTCCACACTTGCTTGTTCATTTCTCATATGGCCAGCACTAGCCAGATGCTGATGAAGGCTGCTCTCAGTGTAGAACGATTTTCCACATAGTAAGCAATGGAAATGCTTCTCCTTTGATGGATGCTTCATGGCTATGTGAACATTTAGTCCACTTAAACCATCTGCTAAAAAACCACAGTCATCACAACAAATTCGTGGAGATTCTTTCATAGGATGGCTTTCTACCTTCTTCTTTTTTCCATCATTCCGTGGGCAATCCACTTTTATAGCCCTATCCCAACTTTTTTGCTTATTCAGATTCTGGCCATCAACTGGGTGATCAACTTGTTCACAATTGTCTTCATGGTTTATTTTCACTATTGAAGAATCAAACTGACCACAGTTTTGCATCCCTGTTCCATCTACTATTTTGCCATCAACACTGTTTAAAGTATCCAAAGCTATATCATTTTTGTCCATGACTTCAGCTACTGAACTATCTGAACCCCAAATATTATTCAAAGATACTCCTGTTTCTTGCTGGGCATCTATCAAGGTACCCTCTTCTTCCACTGTAGGACATTGCTTAGTGTTTATCTGTTGCTGTAAAATTTGGGTGTTTTTAAAACTTTCAGTACTTTCACTGATGTTTTCCTGCCCCAGTACACTACCAGTGTCTGAAACCATAGACAAATGGGTTTCATCTGTTTTCACTTCTTCAGTAGCTACTTCTGAACTTTCATATCTTTTTTCAGAATCTTCCTCCAGTTTGTTTTCATTTTTCATTAAATCTGAATTTGGAGAATTTTCATCGAAAGCCATGTTTCCATTTCCAGGAACTGTTGCCAAATGAATGTTTGATTTTGCTATTTCTTGATTTTGATGCAGAACACAATCAATTGTTTCCTTAAGTTCAACCATCTCATTGAGTTTAAGACCTTCATTTTGATCATTTTCTTCACCACTTGTATTTTTTCTGCCTTGATCAGTTCCATCTTCAGTTTCACCATCTAGAGGCTCAAGAATGCAATCTTTAGAAACCTTTGAAGCAACACTGTCTTCTAATGCCAGATAGGTAGGTGACTTATTCACTTCATGCATGACCTGGTTGTCTGGGTTTTCCTCTTCAATGTTACTTTTGGACTTTGTTTCATCTAATGAAATCTGAAGATCTTCTGTACTTTGCTGCTCTTCTTCAGAAACAATAGCAGTTTCTTTGGCAATACTTGCTACATCTGTCTCCTCTCCAGAGGAAGCACCTATATATGTTTGTCTTTTAATTTTATGCTTTTCTGTTGCTGCATGCCTAATCATCTCTCGGCAAGTAACTGCATAATAGTCACAGGCCATGCAGTAGTATTCAAATTCTTTAGTGTGCTTGCGTTTTATATGTACTTCCAAGGAAGAAAAAGAATGTGCAATGAAGTTACAATGCGCACACTTATTATCATTTGCAGTTGCTAGCCTTGTTTGAACCAGCACATTTTTATCTTGGCTAATGTTACTCGATTCCCCAATTTTATGTTGTGTTTCAGAAAAGTTTCTATCTCTATCTCTTTTGGGAAGGTGAATTATATTTTTGACATTTAATTGGATGGTATTGTCCTGTTCATCTCCCTTGCTTTCCAAAATAGCTTGATCTGTCTCTGAAGCCTGATCGTTAGAAACTATGAATTCTTTTGAAAGACTTCCTGGATCATCTGTTTTCTTTGTGTTGGCTTCAATGTTATCATTTTCTGGGCAAACAATAAACTCAACGTTTTTCTCCCCATTGGCTTCCAAGCGGCCTTTATGCTTCTTTGTAGCACAATGACGTTCCATATCACCTTTAGTTACAGTATAGTAATTACATACTTTGCATAAATAGCTGTACTGGTGGCTATGCTTTCGGCGAATGTGGACAGTCAAGTTTGTTACACTAGACGCCAATAGGCCACAGTGAGGACATGTCCGAGAAATTGTCCCTTTAGGTCTACCTTTCTTTTGCAGGCCCCCAAAAAGCAACTCACTATCTTTAATTGTTTCATTTGATGGGTACAACTCTTTATTTATTGATACCTTCTGCAGAGAAGAGAAAGGTGCACGTATGCTCTCATTCTCTAATGCTGTCTTTAAACTTCCAGAAATAGGGGCTTCAGTTCCTTTTTTACCATCTGTCCCACCTACACATATCTTTTCAATACATTCCTCAAATCGTAAGCCAATGTTATTTTTTCTGGCATTTTCAAGGTGTTTACTTCGCTTTATGTGTTTTTCCATGCCTTCTTTGCTTAATGAATAAAGGTTACACGCTTTACAAAGGAAATGGTATTCCTGAGCATGGCGAAGTTTTATGTGCCTTGTAAGCACAGAAGAAGACCTTGTTTTATAAAAACATTTTTTACACTGAAATTGACTTCTGCTCAGAACAGACTCCTTGAGCTCACTACCAGGATGTAATATTGAGAGCTTGAGGTCTGCCTGTTGTGCTTTCAATTCTACAACCTTTGGAAGTTCACCTGAAGGACAAGATGTTGAATGCACAGCCAGATCACTCTGAAGCGACTGAATGGTATTTCCTTGAGACAATAAATCACTATGATGCTCAGTTGCATTATGAGCTGCTACTTCTTCGTTGGTTTGAAAATACTTGCAGCAAGCAGAACAAGAGAAAGCCATGCTATGCTCATCAGACATGTGTTTCTCAAGGCTTATGTCATTTGGGGCAAGAAATGAACATTTAGGGCAATTTTTCTTGCAACCGTCTATAATATTATTCTTTTGACAACGTTCCAGGTTCTTGCTGTCAGAGGAATATCCATATATTTGACAATGGACTTTAAATTCACCATGAATTTTATCAGCATCCAATTTCAGGTCTTCTTTATTTGACGAGGTACATCCACCATGATTACAAGGATCTAGTGCTCTCTGCTCATCAAGTTCCTTTTCTGATGCAGTCTTATGTTCCAGTATATTTTTTTCATTCTGATGTAATGCTTCTGTTTTGGGGATATCTGCATAGAAATCCTTGCCATCACCTTCACTTTGTAAAACTTTGGCCTGTGATAAATCACTCCGATGCAACTCTCCCTGAACACTATGCTTCACTCTAAAATCAAGCTTGCTTTTTTTACCAACACCTAAAAGATTGTATCTTCTTTTAATCTGTTGATTTATTCTGAAAAAAGTGCTTTGCCTGAAAGTCATTCCTTGTGATAGGATTCTTCTTTTTTTGTAGAAACTACCTAATACACCAGTGGCGTTTAAGTTGCTAGCTGTGACTTGAGTACTTTTAGCAGGGTTAGGGTTAGGGTTTGGATTGCATTCTGAAGACTCTGATACATCTGATTTTTCAAAGAGGACTTCACCATTTCCATCCACTTTCCACAATAAGGCCTCTTCCTTAGTAATACATTCTGTTGGTTCAGTAGATGGTATCATTTCAACTAAACGTTGACAGTTTTCTTTCAAGTTCTCTATCTTATTGCTTGAAATTCTTAAATGATCTGAAAGCTCATCTGTTATTTTTTGTTTATTAGATGCCAATTTCGTTCTGACATTCTTTTCTTTGATTGAAAACCGCTGTTTTTTACAAAAGGATTTTTTTGTTAACATCTTTACAAATCCACCACGGGCAGCCAGATTTTGTCGCCGGAGGTGTGTCTTGCCAAGAAAATGAGCTTGTAGGAGAGCTTCCTTAAAAGTCTGATAACCACAGAGATCACAAAAATATGTAAGTTGGCCAGAAGTCTGCTTGATGTGCGCTCGCAAAGATGAAGTATGCTCTGATTTAGAAGTACAATACGAACTCCCTTTTTCTTTCAATTGCTTAAGGTGATGTTCCTGAATATGGTTTTCTAAATCAAGAGCGGAGGAAAAAATCTCCTTACAGGTTTTGCATTTTGAAACATTCTTAATACTACTCATTGTGTAATTAATGCCAGTTGAATTATCTAAGACAGATGATCTGCATTCTGGAAGTAATAGTTCATTCTCTTGAGAACGTTCATTTTCCATAGGTGTTATCTGTACAGTATTATCTTCGGGCACAAACTCTTGTTGAATGCATGAAGAATTTGATGAAGATGAACATCTACTCAGAGAGGTGTTTACAGCCACTTTTCCTACTGGTTTATTTGTCCCATCAACAGAATATTCATATGTTATAGCATCAGAGGGATTTTCTTCATTCTCTTCTGCAGGTTTTGAACCAACCAGCTTTAATCTTTTTGAGACAGGTTCATTTTCAGTTATAGTTGTTTCATTAAGTTCCTGATCAGTTATTTGGGATAGTGGCCGTTTGGCCAAGCCATTTTCTTCTGGGTTTTTCAATGGATTTTTCTGTTCTTTCATCAAAAGCATTTTTGAGTTAGAAAAAGATTCATTGGGAGTTTTTCCTACTAAAATATTTTTAGCGCTGTCTTGTGGTAACTCATTTTCTATTTTTTCATCACATTCATAACTCTGTTTTTTTTCAACATTCATCCTTAAGGAAGATAATGTAGAGTACAATTCCAATAAAATGAATTAGTACATCTGTTCTTGGAATATCTAAAAAGAGAAAAAAAACAGAAAGTATAAATTAGCTTCTGTGTACATAAAAACAAACATGTTTTATTACAATCCAATTCATAACTTGCCGAATAAATGCTATTACTTTTCAAATGTTTCAAGGACATATTCCGCTATAGATTTTGGTAAATATTTTCTTACATGGAACAGTATGTTTTGACATCTAAATAAAAAATAGGATATTTTTTTTGCACAATAGACATTGGTAAAAAATAATTTTTAGTGACTCTGAAAACAAAATTTTGTAACAACTTACAACAATGCAAATAGACATTACTTAATTCCAGCACTTCTAAATAGAATTATATACTTTAAGTCAGAGGTCCCCAACCCCCAGTCCGTGGACCAGCACCGGTCCGCAGCATGTCAGAAACCGAGCCGTGCAAACAAGCGAAACCCCATCTATGGGATGCAGGCAGCACAGGAAATCACGCCCCCTCCGGTCCGTGGAAAAAACTCTCCCCACAGAAACAGTTTCTAGTGCCTAAAAGGTTGGGAGCCTCTGCTTTAAATGGAACCAATCCACAGAAGCCATATCAAGGTTGCAATATAAATAATGTCCATTTTGGGAATTCAAATTTAAAAGGTGTGACCTTTGTGTTTGATTGTTGACATAATGTTCTAAGAAAGCATTGCATTTATTTAAAGGGCAACTAGAAAATAGAGAAAAAATATTATTTCCCCAATTAAGTTTTATAACTAAACAACTGACTTCAAACTGAATGTTATGTTAAGAAGGCATGATTTACTCAAAATAATGAAATATAGCTAAACAAGCCAGCACCAAAATCTAACGATGGCATCCATTCAAATAAAAATAATTTTCCTCCCAAGTTAAGCTTGGCTCTGGGATTCTGGGACTCGTGAATATGTCCATTTTGTTGCTGCTGCTGCTATTGTTTTCTTGGCAACAACACAGAAGTGATTTGTCTGAGCCTTCTTCTGAATTGTTTATTGTACAACCTATATAATTCTAAGTAGTTTGGATGCTGTTTTATTGCAAGCAGCAATATCAAAAATAGACTTGTTCAGACTGCCCCCACTATACTAGGCCTGTGCAAATCATCTGTCAAGGTGCCTCTAGAGGCCACTGACGCATTCAAGGAACTACAACTGTGTCAGAGCTTCAAGAACAAGATCCAGATAGATGTTTCACTGATGAGTAAAGGAAGATATTAGATTATTTCTGTAATAATAGAATCTTTCAGCTTGAAGGGACCTCAGAGGTCTTCTATTCCAACCCCCTGCCCAAGGCAGGAGTCCTTATACCATCCTGTACAAATGAATGTCCAATTTTTTTCTTAGAAACCTCCAGCACTCACAACTCAGGGAGACAAGTTATTCCATTAGTTAATTGGTCTCAGTCAGGAAATATCTCTTTAATTCCAGGTAGGATCTCTCTTTAATGAGTTTCCACCTGTTCCTTCTTATCTTGCCCTCGGGGGCTTTAGAGAATAAGTCAACCACCCCATCTCTAACCCTCAAATCCTGGAAGACAGCTATCATGTCACCCCTAATCTTTCTCTTTGTTAGGCTAGACATGTTCATCCTGTGGTTTATCACCAGACCTCTCATCATCTTTGTTCTCTGCACTCTTTCTAGGATATCAGTATCTTTTTTGTATCATGGTGACCAAAACTGGACACAGTATTCCAAGTGTGGCCTCAGTAGTACAGTATAAAGCGGTACTATCACTGTTGTAATCTTGATACTATCCCTTCATTGATGCACTCCATTTTTTTGGCAGCTGGAGCACTCTGCTGACTCATACTTAAGTGGTGGTCCACTAGTACACTTAGATCCCTCTCACAGGCACTACTGTTGAGTCAGGTATTGCCTATTCTGTACCTGTGCATTTGTTTTTTCCTGCCTAAATGCAGGACCTTACTTTTCTCACCACTGCACTGCATCTTATTAGACAGGACTCAATGCTCAAGTCTGTCAAGATTCTTCTGAATCTTGAGTCTGTGGTCCAAAGTACCAGCGATTCCCCCTAGCTTGGTCTCATCTGCAAATTTGATGGCTTCCCTTCTAGCCCCTCATCTAGATCATTTATGAAAATGTTGAAGAGCATCATGCCCAAGACAGAACCTTGAGGTACCCCACTGCATGCTTCTCTCCATGTAGATATAGTTCCATTGAAGACTATATGCTGTGCAGTTGGTTAGTCAGTCACAAATCCATCTGGCAGTGGTACTGTCTATCCCTTCTTGTTCTAGCTTTCTAAGAAGTAGCCTTTATCAAATGCCTTACTGAAGCTCAATTATACTATGTCCACAAATTTAGTAACTTTATAATAAAAAAAGGTGATTAGGTTTGTTTGACATGATCTGTTTTTAACAATCCCATGCTGGCTTCTATTAATCACCTTGTTCATTTCCAGGTGCTCACAAACCTGCTACTTGATTATTCTTTTCTAGGATTTTCCCAGGTATTATATGTCAAGCTGATTGATCTGTTGCTTCCTTGTTCCACTTCCCCCCCTTTTGTTTCAGTGCCTTGGCACTTTCTCTGTGCTCCAGGAACTCTGAAAGATTTTGTTCAGTAGTTCTGAGATGATATAGGCCAGCTCTTTCAGGACCCTGGGATGTAGCCTTAATAAATATGCTAGTTTTACATTATATATCCATGCAAATAATCTGTCAATATTCAGCAATAGCAAACAATGTATTCTAGGCTTTAATTAATACAGATGTGGCCTACATCTCCCTCATTACAACTAATGTCCAATGATATGAAAAGCAGCAAGTGATATTTACAGCCTCAAAGATCAGATCTCCTCTTTTACATAAGTTAAAACTACCGGCAGCTCAAAAATGTGGACTTTGAAAACGATTATCCTTTCACCAGGAACAAGGGAACTCAACATGGAAAAGTTCTGCCATGTATTTCCCTACTTCGGCTCTCTGCCTTATAATATGAAATGGCATGATGTCTGCAGTCCTAAATTGTCAAATTGTGTAATGATTAGAGATCACCTTGTGTCCCCTTAGAACAGTGATGGCGAACCTTTTAGAGACCGAGTGCCCAAACTGCAACCCAAAACCCACTTATGCATCGTCCGGTGCCGGGTGGGTGTGGCCCATTGGGTGGGTGTGGCCCATTGGGTGGGCGTGGCTATGGTGGTAACAGCAGACTGGGTGGGACTAAAAAGTTCAATCAATCAATTCCAACTTTGCAAGATCTTTTTTTTTCCCGCGAGAAGTTGAAATTGACTGATTGATTGAACCTTTTTTTTTTGTACACAGCGGCGGAGGCCTAAAGCAAAAAGGTTTTATAAAACCCAGCGAGGCTGGGGCGATGGCGCACGTGCCCACAGAGAGGGCTCTGAGTGCCGCCTCTGGCACCTGTGCCACAGGTTCGCCACCACTGCCTTAGAAAAAGTTCCACATTTGTTGCTAGATTACTGTGACCTTCATTCTAGGACCTTCCTTCTTGAGGACTAACTCAGCATTCACCAAACAAGAAAACAAAAATCTAAATAGTTATGCTAGTATGTTAGATGATGATAGATGATACAGAAAAAAATAAGGAAACAGAAAGCAGATACACATTACATTTTTTAAAAAATATTTCTAAATAAAAATATAGTAAATTCTTAAATTTTATCATGGGGGGACATGTTCTGGAGCTTAACTTGCTGTCTCCCATAAAGGGGATGCCTGCTTTATTAGCGATGCTCCATTTCAGCACTGAAGCCAGCTTGAAAAAACTTTGGCTTCCTTTCTGCAGACTTTGTTTAGGTTGGTGAATTTCTGGAAAAGAGGGGTATTCAGAAACTGACCCGCAACAGTACTGCTTCCAAACGGGTGGTCCACAACTTACAACCCACAACTGAGCCCAGATTTCTGCGGCTAAGCAAGGCAGTTAAGTGAGTTTTGCCCCATTTTACAACCTTTCTTGCCACAGTTGTGAAGTGAATCACTGCAATTGTTAATAGCACGGTTGTTAAGTGAATCCAGTTTCCCCATTGACTTGCCAGAAGATCACAAAAGATGATCACATGACCCCAGGACACTTCAACCATCATAAATAGGAACCAGTTGCCAAGCATCCGAATTTTGATCATGTGACCATGGGGATGCTACATCGATCACGTGAAAAATGGTTATAAGTCACTTTTTTCAGTGCCGTTGTAACTTTGAGTGTTCATTAAATGGATGGATGTAAGTCGAGGACTACCTGTAGTCTGTATAATATTGTCGCTACCACATATGTGCACATGGACGTAGATCAAGCTCATAACAGCATTGCTGCAAATCAATGAACTGCCTTCTCACACACACACATTAGTTGCCCCTTGTCCCATTAAAGCAAGTTGCAGCATAGAAAAGTACTGGGTGGGCTTAGCTATAACCTTTTTGGTTATTTCAGTGGAAGTGCAATGTCACAATAGCCTCAAGAAAAATATGAAATATTTCACACTAAGCTGTGCTTAATAATAAATCTAACGGTTTAAAAAAAAATACAACCATACAAACTGGAAGTTATCCGCATAAGAAAAGTATTTTGATGACACCTGGTGGCCATTTTACACAAGGAGACTAAAACCGAAATGCTGTTCATCAACACAGCGTCGGAGTTCAAACAGTGAATTACAAGATTCCGGCATCTCATGCATCTCGGGCTATTTTTGCACTGATTATGCCTACCCATAAACATATACTTTCTACTTTCATTCATTGTTTAACATATTTCTAAAATGTCAAACACTTACTATAAACATTTAAAGGTCCACAGTAAGTTTCACATGTTCGGTTGAGCTCCAATATATCATGAGACGGAAAGATTCAGCAAAACTGTAGCTAACATACAAATTCAGTGCCACTAAAAGCAGAT